CCAAAGGGTTGAAACAGGAACGCACACAACAGAGCACCACAGACAAACCACTTAACTCAGACTGACGCCAGCTCACTAACAGTCGCGGGAGACCCCCAGCTAACACCACCTAGCAGCACAACTCGTAACTACAAAGCATGCGCGCGCAACAGGTCATTTCCGGTTATTTTTGGGTCCCCCTTCGTATAAATATGTGGTAACGTGTCATCATTAGTGGGATTTAAGTACCATACAGTAGAAATTATAGAGTGTCATAATACAGAATTTCGTTGAAAAAACACAAAGATTGGATATAAGTGAGTGTTCTTTGAAGTGTTTGGTATTTTACAGAATTGTGACTGTTCTCCAGCCATGGCTTCTCTACAGCAACTCTCACTTCAGTAGTCCTGATTTACATACAGTAAAATGTGTTGCTAATCTGGTAAACACACGCTTGGTGAGTTTTTAGTAACACTGGTAGACATCAATACTTGCACACCTAAGCATACATGTTTGTACACACATACACACCAATGCTGTGTGCACTCTCTGTTTATGTAAAATAGATGGAGAAATGTATCCAAACACAAATATGTGAATCTTATAGTGTGCGCAGAGTAAAATATCCCCTGAACTTTTTCAGCTGCCAGTGCTTGTGTTCATGAGGTCATGTCACAGAACAGATGAGTGTAATGTTAGTAAGACTATATACAGAGAAATTATTTGCTCTCTATGACAGTCTTTCTGGGAAAAATTTCCTTATCTTTGGAAATCTGGAAATTGGGTGCTCCACCATGGCCATGTGCTAGTTTGTCAATCTCTTTTGGTGCAGGAGTATCTGAACAAGAGTTGTGTCACTGTTCTTGCTAATTTATCTGCTATCCAGGTACAGTTACTGCCTCTTCCAAAGAATGAAATCCCCCTTAAAGGAATGTAGGTTCCATTAGCAGAACAGATGAAAGAAGTTACAGAGATGGCATGTAAGGAGATCGTAGGAAGACACCTGCAGGATTGCTTCTGCCAGTTAAAAAGTGGCTGCTGGCCAAAATGTGTCAGTGGGAGTGTACTGTGACTTGTATAACCAAAGAGAATAGAATTTTTCAAGATCCATACTCAAGCTATTAGCAAAAATTGTTTGTTATGATGTGTGTGATGAATACAAATTCTTCAGTTACATAATTTCTGTGATGAAATGTGGCACTAAAAATTCTCCAAAGTGATGGAAGGAATAAATCTTCACTGCATTGTTAGTAGGAAATAAACTTTCATAAATGGTCTGATGTTGCTCATTGTCACACAGCACACAGTATTAAGCACTTAGTTACTAGATGAACATTCAGTGAGTTGCATTGGTAATTCAGTTTATATTTTTCTGTATGTTCTTTCTCATCATGTTTGGAAGTATTATAAAAGAAGCAGTAATCTTTGTCTCATGTGATTCTTGCAGAAGGACACCTTGAGTGACTGCAATGGCTTCCTAAATCTCAGTTTGGTGCGCTACCTCCTCACTGGTCTCAGTACAACAGTTGTGTCAGGTTCCAAAAACATGGCACATCATATTTTCTCTGCAATCTTTGATAGCTGCCCAGCCCTCAGTCTTGCTGCCAGGGTATGGTTTCTTCATCTCTTTTGTGCCTATTTAATGACACTTTCCCTGTTGGATGATAGATTGATAGATGAATGGTGAATTAGAAAATGTTTGGAAGAAAGTGATCATGGCCTATTTGAGGTACTGTCCCAGCAGTTGCCTAGAGGGCCTGAAGAAAAACTTCAGTCAGAATGATTGATGTTCTGTGAAAGATTGAAAATGAGCCCTCCCTCAAATACAAGTCCAGACCATTACTTGTTCAGTACCTGGCCAAGGTATAGTGACAATTATAAACCAAATGTATATAGAGTCAATTCCGATAAAATATGGTTGATTTTCTTCATAATAGCCATACTGGTTACTCTGTGGATGAGGGAAGTGGAGAGTGTACAGTGAACTCCATTAACAGCATAAACCAAAAGATCTTCAAAATTCACCATTTATTGTCAGTTTTTAATGGCTGTGCATAACATCGTAATCATAGTACAGTATTGTGTCCACACATTTTGGGACAAGTCACAGTCATTCTCATGTTCTTAGTATGAACGCGGTAGTGTAGTTGGTTAAGGCACTATGCTATAAGCTGTAAGGTCGCAGGTTCAAGTCCCGATGAGGTCATTTGATTTTTTCAGTTGAGCTAATCCTTCCAGCCACACTATGACCCTGGGGTCGACTCAGCCTCTAACAAAAATGAGTACCAGGATTATTCTTGGAATATTCTTGGGGATAAAGGGCGGCCGGCATGTAGGGCTGACAACCTTGCTGCCATCTATGGGCCGATTGTCTGGAAAATGTGGGAACCTCAACATCTCACAACCCTATGGGCCTCCACGGCCTGTTACAGGGATACCTTTACTTGTTTTACTTTTTAGAAAAGATTGGAGCTAATACATTTAGTCGTATTAAAACCTTGAACGTGTATAATTCTTTGGGAACCTAAATAAAATGCGGATAGCTGGTAGTATGGCTTTAATATTTTTGGTTTCTTTACTTGTACAGGTCCACGCTTCAACTGTGCTGTGTATCGTACAGAGATTTGCAGCATCCGACATGCCATCAGGCACCTTCAGCCATATACTGGCAACACTTGCCATGATCAAGTCAAAATCCTTACAGGAGATGGCACTGGGTACACAGGCAGCCAAGTACTGGGAGGTAGGTTTAGATGTCTGGTTGCACCAGAAGCACAGTCCATCTCTGAAGACCCCTGTAAGGAGGTGGGTGTTCTTCTACACTGTTCTGGAGCTTGGCTGTCAGCTACAGTCTGGAATCATAAGCTTCAAATTTGACTCAGGAAGTATATCATTCCAATACAATACCAAGGATGTAGTGCAGAACAACATAATAACACTACTTATTAATGAACTCGAAAATGATCTATCTGTAATTGATACTTTGGATGTGATTGTACAAGCAGAACAATTGCCATTCTGTGGACTGTCAGCATTATCACAGAACATGATGTGTGTAGCTGCTGTACTGTTTCTTATGCTGTACAATGACCTTAAGGAAACAGATTCCAACAAATTCCTGGCATCAGGATTTGATGCTTCCCTTCTGTGTAAAGTTCTCCTCTCTTGCTGCACTGCTTGGATTAAGGCTGGACTTCCTCACAGCAGGATTAAAAAAACATTGTCTGAGTCAGAAAGAAACCAGAAGAAAATGGTTACATCGCCCCTGGTGGATAAAGAATTGTTGCTGGGCATGAAAAGAGGACTGAGCTCCATCTTGAGAACAGTATCTAGCAGACAAACAGTCAGAGTTCCAGAAATCTACATCACAAGCATAAAACATTCTGAATTAGGAAACATTTTGGGCAATATTTTAACTCAAATGGGATGGTCTGTAAGGTAAACAGGTGGAAGGCAAAGAGAATCAATCTTCTTTGGAAGAAACAACACATCTGTAAGGAATAATCAAAAAGTACCAACATCGGAACACAACTTGCTTTCATAAAACTTCTTCACTGCTCTTTAAAACACTCATCCTGAGTCCCATAATGCTTATTCAATGATCTAAAAAGAAAGGTTGAAACATGTAGCAATAAGAATTGCAAAAATAAACAAATGTTAATACAATTGTATCTGCGTTGTCTTATTGAGTATTATTGTAATTGCTGTGTTGACTTACCCTGTTTGCATACCTGCATGCATCCGTGCATACTTGGGTCCAGTCGTATGTGCATGCATCCATGCATACCTACCTACATACATAAATGCATGCTCAAGTGATTAAATAGATGCGTGATGCCAAGGGTGAGTATGGGTGGGTTCCCGCGCTTCCATAATCTCATCCCGAGTACCTCCTGCCCTACCCTATAAAATGAATTCTTCAGAGGAGCGGTTTACACAGCCCAATAAGGAAGATAATAAGAAACTAAGATGCTACATTTTTTACTACACTTTGTGGCTTTCCATGAGGTTTTAGTCTCGAAGCGTGGGACTTATATATATTGGGGGCTTATATATACTGCCCAAAAAGCCATGTACAATATATACCTATAGTTGTAAAGGTTGTGACATGCAATTTAGAGGAGGAAGGACGAAACATAGAAAGTAATTGACTGTGACAAGTGAGAAGGGATAGACCCGTCTTGTCATCAAAAAGAATTCCTGTTAAAGGCTAAACAGTGAAGTTACTTGAAGACTAAGATCTGGTCAAGAGCGTCCGTATGGGCTCTAAATTAAGAGAAACTAACTGGCCAACCATCAGTCGTAAAATTACTTTGAAACGAAGCAGTAGGATATGTGGAAGACGGAGGCGAATAGTTGTCATAACCATGGCGGTCCTTTGGTAAGGCACTGGCGTATGGTTTAGAAGCATACGTGGTTCGAAGACATTACTATTTTTTGTGGGGGGAAAAAAGTGAAATTTGTGCATGTAGGAAGCAAGTCGTACTATACAAGGAAGGTGAAGGTAACAAATTTGTACAGATCTGGTGGTACATGGGTGAGATATTTGCGTAGTATTGGGAAGGTACCGGGTTCGAGACCACGACGTCTTTTGTTAATAGAAATTGAAAAGTGAATAAATGAATACGATTTTTCTGCAGCTATAAACCAAGTCGCATAATATAAGGACGATCGTAGAAAGTTATGACATGCATGTTCTGGTGGCCTAGAGGTAAGGCACAGGCGTTCTAAAGATAAGGTTCGTGGTTCGAAAACACGCGTATTTTTGTGATGAGATTTTTATGGAATTATATAGCGACATGTAACATAAGAGGAAGATTAAAGGTAAAAGATTTCCGTGACATTGGTGGCCTATCGGTAAAACACCGGCGTAGTGATGAAGAGTTGGAAGGTTCGAGACCAACTATAGTTTTGTGATTTAGAAAGTAAGTTAATTGATTTTTCTGAAATTATAACCGAAGATGTAGCTTAAGAGGAAGATAAAAGAAAATAAATTTCAGTGGTGCTGGTGGTCTAGCGGTGAAGACATCGGCCTAGTGTTCAGAAGGTCCCTGGTTCAAAACCAGTAGGATTTTTGTGAAAAAGAAAATGGAAAGAAGTCAGGAGGCAGGGTAAAGGAGGCGGGAGAGATAGAGGGAGGGACCGGGGCGAGGGAACATTTTTGCTTTTTTTTTTTGCGGCCGCTCATTAAGACACTCAACCTAAGCGGGTTTTATTAAAATCCACATGGGATCAGAAAGAAAAAAAACTTTGGCCCACCGTCCGCCCACCAACCACCCGCCCTTAGGGGGTGACTTTGACTTATTCATTTGAGACCAGATTCTATGAGCGAGAGTTATCAAGGTAATGTAATATAACTGCAGCGCATTCTGTTGACTAAAACCTCATGGAAATCCACGAAGTGTAGTTAAAATATAGCATCTTAGTATCTTACTGGGCTCGGCAAACAGCTCCTCTGAAGAATTCATTTTATAAGAGTAGGGCAGGAGGTAGTGAGGATGGAAGCGTGGGACCCCACCCTCAACCACCCTTCATAATCACGCAGAAAGTTAATCACTTGAGACCAAGAAAACTGAGTGAGATTTAAGAAAGTATGAAATAAACCTGCAGCGCCATCTGTTGAACATTAAAACAACATCCGTTCACCAGAGGGTGCTGCAGGTATAATTCAAATTTTCTTAACTCTCGCAGATTTAGCGTGGTCTCAAGTTATTAACATTCTGCGTGACCCCAAGGGCAGTCGTGGGTACGGTCCCACGCTTCGCTATCCGTGGAGTAATCTTCAACAGATGGCGCTTTTTATTATTTCATATGAGTATGAACGATATGGGAGTGGTCCCATGTTTCGCCATCTGCGGAAGAATTTTCAACAGATGGCGCCACTTTCAATTTCATATAAATGTGAATACTACGGAAACGTGGGACTCCACCCTCATCCGCTCTTGGGCTCACGACGAAAGGTAAGAACTTGAGATCACGCTAAAGCAGCGAGAGATAAGAAGGGAATATTTAAAACTGTTGCGCCATCTGTTGTACATTACTCCACAAGTGATTAACTTTCTTCAGAGGAGCGGTTTGTAGTAGTCAATAAGATATTAAGATGCTTCATTTTAACTACAATTTGTTCTTTCCATGAGGTTTAAGTCCACAAATGGCGCTGCAGATATATTATATTTTCTTGTTAACTGTCGCTGAATTAGCTTTATCTCAAGTTACTTTCTGCATGAACCCCAAGAGCGGTCGTGGGTACGGTGTCATGCTTCGCCGTCTGTGGAGTAATGTTCAACAGTTGGCGCTACTTGTTTTATTTCATATGAATATGAATACTATGGAAGCGCCATTTGTGGACTTAAACCTCATGGAAAGAACGAATTGTAGTTGATATGTAGCATCTTAGTATCTTATTGGCTGGTACAAACCGCTCCTCTGGAGAAAGTTAATCACTTGTGGAGTAATGTTTAACAGATGGCGCAACAGTTTTTAATATTCCCTTGTTATCTCTCGCTGCTTTAGTTTGATCTCAAGTTCTTACCTTTCTTCGCGAGCCCAAGGGCGGGTGAGGGTTGAGTCCCACGCTTCCGTCGTATTCACATTTATATGAAATTGAAAGTGGCGCCATCTGTTGAAAATTCTTCCGCAGATGGCGAAACATGGGACCACTCCCATATCGTTCATACTCATATGAAATAATAAAAAGCGCCATTTGTTGAAGATTACTCCACGGATAGCGAAGCGTGGGACCGTACCCACGACCGCCCTTGGGGTCACGCAGAATGTTAATAACTTGAGACCACGCTAAATCTGCGAGAGTTAAGAAAATTTGAATTATACCTGCAGCACCCTCTGGTGAACGGATGTTGTTTTAATGTTCAACAGATGGCGCTGCAGGTTTATTTCATACTTTCTTAAATCTCACTCAGTTTTCTTGGTCTCAAGTGATTAACTTTCTGCGTGATTATGAAGGGTGGTTGAGGGTGGGGTCCCACGCTTCCATCCTCACTACCTCCNAAAAAAAAAAAGCAAAAATGTTCCCTCGCCCCGGTCCCTCCCTCTATCTCTCCCGCCTCCTTTACCCTGCCTCCTGACTTCTTTCCATTTTCTTTTTCACAAAAATCCTACTGGTTTTGAACCAGGGACCTTCTGAACACTAGGCCGATGTCTTCACCGCTAGACCACCAGCACCACTGAAATTTATTTTCTTTTATCTTCCTCTTAAGCTACATCTTCGGTTATAATTTCAGAAAAATCAATTAACTTACTTTCTAAATCACAAAACTATAGTTGGTCTCGAACCTTCCAACTCTTCATCACTACGCCGGTGTTTTACCGATAGGCCACCAATGTCACGGAAATCTTTTACCTTTAATCTTCCTCTTATGTTACATGTCGCTATATAATTCCATAAAAATCTCATCACAAAAATACGCGTGTTTTCGAACCACGAACCTTATCTTTAGAACGCCTGTGCCTTACCTCTAGGCCACCAGAACATGCATGTCATAACTTTCTACGATCGTCCTTATATTATGCGACTTGGTTTATAGCTGAAGAAAAATCGTATTCATTTATTCACTTTTCAATTTCTATTAACAAAAGACGTCGTGGTCTCGAACCCGGTACCTTCCCAATACTACGCAAATATCTCACCCATGTACCACCAGATCTGTACAAATTTGTTACCTTCACCTTCCTCGTATAGTACGACTTGCTTCCTACATGCACAAATTTCACTTTTTTCCCCCCACAAAAAATAGTAATGTCTTCGAACCACGTATGCTTCTAAACCATACGCCAGTGCCTTACCAAAGGACCGCCATGGTTATGACAACTATTCGCCTCCGTCTTCCACATATCCTACTGCTTCGTTTCAAAGTAATTTTACGACTGATGGTTGGCCAGTTAGTTTCTCTTAATTTAGAGCCCATACGGACGCTCTTGACCAGATCTTAGTCTTCAAGTAACTTCACTGTTTAGCCTTTAACAGGAATTCTTTCTGATGACAAGACGGGTCTATCCCTTCTCACTTCTCACAGTCAATTACTTTCTATATTTCGTCCTTCCTCCTCTAAACTGCATGTCACGACCTTTACGACTATGCGTGTATATTGCATATGGCTTTTTGGTAATATATATAAGCTCCCTGTCAGTCCATAACAGATTCTGCCTTATTTTCATTGGCTCACGCTAGACCGGCAATTTAGTCACCTCAACGATCATATGCTTCACCGCCGCAAAATTTTATCCTCGTGTCCTGCCGGGCTTTGCCTTATCCAGTATTCCGAACATTTGCATTTTCACGATCTTCTGTGGCATCTGGTTGCTGACCGCTCTACGCCTTGGGATACTGGTGTTGTTGTGGGGAACCTTGATTTCTAAGCGCTGCCCTTTCGAAACGTGGGTATTTGCCGAAAATCCCAAGGCAAGCATACGGCATTGCAGAAATATATAATACTCTGTGGATGGTGCATTTCATCTTAGAGCTTAATCGCTCACTTTTCAATGAAGGATATGCTTTAATACATGTTGAGATGGCATTGCCTCCGATCATTTCTGTATCTAATCCTCTTACCGAAACATATACTGATGTTGTATACGACTCAGGAAGGGGGTTCTTCGTCCGTTTAGTATGAGATGACCCCCAAGCGATCTAACTCTCTTGACATAAAATTCC